CCGACCTATTGTTTGAGAATACCGATCGGCAAATATGCGCGACTTTGCCGATGGAACAATTTGTTGTTTGCTGATCGACAAACAACGCTTTCTCTCGATTCTTCCTTTTTTTTTTTGTTTTTTTTCTTTTTTCGTTTTAAATCGATCTTTCATAAAGCGATGAAAACCAAAAGTGTGTTTGTCCACGGGGCAAACGTTCTGCCAACAAGTTTACTCGCGTGACCGAACGTTTTAACATTCATTAATTAACCGTGCATCCCCTAACTGGCCGATTACAGAAGAAAAAGCCACGTTAATATTATGAAACGCTTTTTTAATGCAGCTAACGAGCGTGCCCGACCCACGCGAATTACGTTTGGCAATTACGCACGGGACGTTAATTACGTGAAAAGTGTTTTGACGTGGCTGAAATCTGGCAATAAAGAGCCAATTTCCAATTTAATCTACCACGACCGAGCCAACTGTCAATTATCAGATGTTTTTACTTAATAAATAAAGCCCGTCGGTTGCCTGCAATTTCTTTCGTTGCCGTATTTCCGCGGCAATCTTTCGTGAAATGTGGTATTATCCTCGTGAAGACTAAAGAAATCGTTCCCACAGTTCCTCACGAATTTATTGTCACAGCAAAACAATTACTCTTCAGTTTCTCGCTATTGAATCCATCGTTGCTTATTTTTCTCACTTTTATTATTTTTTCTTTAAATTCAAGAGCAGTCCATTTTCCACACGATTTTTTTTTAAAAATAATTATTCGATCGAGAATTATTCTGAATCCTCGCCGAGGACATGGGAATGTTTTACCATTATTAACAAGCAAAGTAAAGTAAAATTTACCACTATTGGTAAGTAAAGTAAAGTAAAATTTATCACTATTTTCAGTACACGCTTTTTCCCAGCAATCCGTTACTTCAATCAACGGGTTGAACTTTCCTTCGACGTTTGATTTTCTCCGATGCTTCGCAACATTTTCATAACTTTTTACGAAGAAACGACGAGCGACAGTGTGCTTGAAATACCCGGCGCGAATTCCATCGGTGTCGAATGGCAAACAAATACGATGAAAACCACTTGGTGGCAAATTACTTGTGGATACTTGCACGTGCCCGCTTCAAATAGGATGTCAAAGAGACCGATGTCTGGTTGAAACCCTGTTGAGCCTCGAGCACGTAGAACGCGCTGGAACCGCGGACAATTCAATCAAACCTTGTGTAACATGACAATATCTACTTGACCGTACCATCGTACATTATAGCTTCCAGTACACGCAGTGCTCCAACACTCGCGGTTTCCCAGTCATCGACATATAAAAATTACATATAACGTATCACTCTTCCTGTCTCTCTTTCTCTTAGAAAAGAAGAAAAGAGAAGAAGAGAAACCTTACCAACTTTGCTCTCAACGTGACTAACTTATCATTCTTGTTTCTTTAATAAGAATCTGCCACATCCGAACAAAATATTCAATAGACGCCTCAGCTCGCGATCAATTATACATATTTATACATATTTGAAAATTCATTGAAATGTAAGGCAAAAGATTTCATTGAAAGAGCAAACATAAAAGATTGCGTTTATCATATTTAACTCTGTGACAAGTTGATACGTATTTCGTTCGCGAGGGTGTTGCAAATTACAGAAATAATCGTTTTTGATAAACCAAACCAGCAATGCGAGCAGCATGACGAGGGTTTGTCTATTCAGGATGGTTTGAAGCAAAAATCAAAAGAAAGAAAGAGTGATACAATATTCTCAAATATTGAGACAAATGGTAGAATAAACAATAGGCGCAACTTAATATCAGAAAAGTGCTCGTTCCATTGTCTACGATTCCGTTAATCGGTTTGGATACGTATGAGAGATTCTAATTGCAATTACCTATGCAATAACGCGGCTCTTTGTCCCTCTTATTTCGTCACTGCTTTGTCCGTTAACAATGAAAGAATACGTTCATAAAAGTCTTCGTTTCAAGCTTCAGGCTCACCGACGCGAACCTAGCTTGTTCCTTTTCCGTAGAAAATATCACGGGGCATTAATATTCACGCGCTGCCACGTTCGCGCAATTACCGTATTTGTATATACGTGCACATACACGTGCACACACGCGCGTGAGCGTAATCAAGAGCAAATGCACGGAACAAGCTGGCCGAGGAATGGAAGCACGCGGACGCGAGCTACGCGCAGCGACGATGAGTATCTTCGGAGAGAAATTTTTCATAATGGATGTTATGTGCCATCCGGGCTGTGTAAACGGCGAAAACCATTCTATTCTCCGGAGGGCGCTTAACATCCCTCGTACGCACAGGTGAGAACCATCAAGACTCGTTCGCTCGTTTATTTGTCGTTCGTGAAACGCGCGTCTCCTCGGGACAAGAATTTCACAACAACGACGCGACCCCTTGTATTCATACGCAACGAGACTCCCCAGTCCGTGAAATAAGCACGCCGAATAAATTTCCCGACTCTTTTGCGACCGTCTCTCTGCCATCCAGCTTGCCTTGAAATCAAATTAACACGGGGGAAATGCGCGGTGTCGCCGACTTGCCAACCTTAATTTACACGATCGCGTTTAACCAGCCGAGAATCAAATATTAAATACTCGTTACAATGTTATTAAAAGAAACTGTGGATTTTTTTTTTTGGAAATTCGTATCTTTGACAATGTCAAAAAATGGGGTCCAGGCGATAGAAGATTGTTCTGCACATTGAATACTTTTCACAATATTTTCGCACATCACGTGCATTTCGTGCGTGTTTGCACTTTAAAATTTTTGAGCGCAAAACTCGGCAATCTGATTGCAAAATTACGTTTCTTTAACTCTGCTACGATCCTCGAATTTTTATATTCCAGTGCTGTCCGCCATTTTGGCAGAAATAAAACCTATCTTCATTTTAATCTTGGCTTTAATTGTAATTTTTGATTCTAGATCGACTAAACTAACATTGAATTGAATTTCACTTTCAATTTTAATTCTTTTCGAACCGACACCAACGAGAATCTTTTCAAAATTGCGGTGAAAAAGAGATATCAAATCCTTGAATGTTAAAAATTAAAATTCGACGATATCGTAGTATTTGTTGAGAAGTGAAACGTTCGCCTTCTATAGGTTAACATCCCTTTCATCGACGTTTTCATCTCTGCCGTAAGAAATAACGAAGAAATACCAACTTCTACAATTCGTGAATCATTCACTTTTGTACATTTCCATACTCGGCACTATCACAATTCAGGAAATATTTCTTCATTTAGAAAAGAATACAAAGGAATACCTCCTTCCCCGTCATTTCAACAGATCTCTCAGTCTAAATTTGCTGATGAAAGTACTCTGTTGAGCTATCAAACGGAAATCGTCGGAAAGGAAATAGCGCGATAACGACAAAGGAATTAGCAATCAGCCGGCGCGAAAGAATCAATTCCGGCTAATTAAACGATCCATAAATTCCGGGACGTCATTACCGGGGAGACGATCGAAATCAAGTGGATCGAGAAACGACGACCGACGACGACGACGAGGCGACGAGCGAGATCGACGTGGCCGGCATTGCAATGAGGAGAACGCGAGCGAGCTCCCGCGCGATTTGCAATCGTTGCACGGTGCATCGTTCCGACGAGCCCCGTCACGTCGTCGATCGGCCACGACGACACGCCGCACGATGGGGAACCGTGGGACGGAAGCAATTAGCAATTAAAATCGGTGGCTCGGCGATTGATCGGTCTAGCATGATACCAACCTGTCCTACGAGCCAATCGACTCTTGGATTATAATTACGGGCGCTAATTGCGTAGCACCTGCTCCCCTCCCTCGTTCGTTCCTTCCTCTCCTCTTCTCGCTTGCTGAACCGGTCGTGTGATTAGTACTCGACAGCATCGGTTAAAATGTTCCGAGAATTTCATTTCCGACGCGACATCCGCATTTTCGTTCCGACGCTCGATAATTAATTGGCCCGTCCGTCTACACGGGAACTACGGGGGACACCAAAATTAGGGGGGGGGGGGAGAGGGATGTTTTTCTGGCCCTGATTGACTAAATTACATTGAATTTTAATTTCACTTGCAGACGGAGAGCAGTCGAATCGTGCGAGATTTTTAAAAATCGAACAGACTGATTTATCGAACTTCGACGGTTGAAATTTATCTCGGTTCTGTACACCGATCTGTAAATAACACATGGTCGACACCGATCGATCGTGACACTCCTGACACGACAATTTAAAAAATTGAACACTACAATAATATCGATTTTCATTGCTGTTATTTCTTAACGGCAAGGTAAAAGTTTTCTCTTCTCATTCATTCTGGAAAGGAAGTCGAATTCCCACGAGCGAAACGAAGGAAACCGACGACACGTCATAAACGTCAATACGGCGGTCGCAGCGAAACGTGTAATTGCCTGTCAAAAATCTCGGACGCGCGTACGATTGGACGCGAAACGCGTGTGCTTTGGACAGCATCGTGGGAAAGGGTTGGCGCGCTTTAATTAAACGAAGCAAATTAAATGCGGCCACGGGAAAATCGGTTTCTTTAATATCTTCGAGGATGTCGTTTGTACCAAGAGATTCGATGGCTGGCCGCTGCGGGGGGATGAAAGCGAATCGACTTCTCTCTCTCTCTCTCTCTCTCTCTCTCTCTCTCTCTCTCTCTCTCTTTCGGACCGGCCTGGGTGCGTTTCGATGCTCCCGGTGTACGATGGACACGCGGCAAATGAAAAGAGCCCCGGCATCATGGAATTCTAATAAACGTTCGACCGCGATGGCCAACTCGGGAAACGAGATTCCACGAGAACCGGCTGGATCCGTGCCGCGACTATGAACGCGTAACGAATATATACGCCCCCTCCCATCCCCGTCTATCCCCTGTTTGCTCTACTATCCTCTTTCTTGCCCTATCTGCCGTGGTCAATATTCCCCCGCGGAAAATGATAAAGCTCGCACCACCGTGAAATATCGGCACGCCAACACACATATATCTATATCTATATATATACATTTTGTAACTGAACTCACGTCGTTTTGAGCGAAGGTCGGCGTAATTGGCCCATCGCTGGCTTCCCATTTGTCGGCGATGCGGATCGTCTCCGCCGTTTTCTGCTGCACCGATTTCGACTCGTCGAGCAGCGTCAGCTCGTAAAACTCCTGGATATCTGCAACAGAGCGGAAAAGCGACGTGTCAAATTAATGCATTCGCCAGCAATTCCCATTGACGTTCGCTGCAAAACGTACTTTGACTTTGCGCCCGGGGCTTTAAATCTCGCCTCGAAGGGAAATTGACGCCCGATCGCTTAAAACTGTGATGTAATCCGTGCACGAACACGCGGACACGTTGAATTGAATCTAGACCGATGAAGAAGCTCAACGAATAGGAAATAGGAAATATATGGGAAACATTTTCGTCGTGTGCTTTTTGATAAACTTCGTTGCTCATGCGTTCGCGACGTACCTGTACGTGCTGGTTCGAAATTTTGTAGCATGCTGGAGTTTCGACAGAAACAATGGTTTCTTTTCTCATATAAACGAACATTTTAAGTGTTTACGGTGTGTTTATTATTTCAAAATATTGAAACTGTAATTGGTTGCATCTAGAATTTAATTAAATTTAATTTGAATTGAATTGAATTAAATGAATTCTAGTCCATCTTTAATTTAACACAATGAGATAAATATATTTTCATTCGTTTGACATGGACGTATCTATAATGATACTTGGTGATATTCTGAAGAAACTGTTAAAATAAGAAAATGAGTGTAAAATTAGTTGCAGTTGAAAAGTGTTATGATCAAAGAATTACCACGTGTATATATATTAGAAAATCACTGCAATATCTCGAAAAAATGTAGAAATATCATACTATTCTTTTCACGCATACTCGATCTAATTTTTAATTTGAGCTAACATGTCACTAGGAAACACAGTCACATAATTTTCCGTACTCTTGGAGCTTCTCGTGAATTTTCATCACCAGTGAATTTTCCTTCGCGTTGCACGTTGTTCAAAGATGACATTGAAAATATAATACCCACGAGTCGCTAAGGCGAGTGCCCCGAGTGCAAAAATATTTAAATATCAAGCGTGATTCAGTGACCATCGTATATTCTTTCTTCGTCCATATTCGGCCCACGTTCAAGCTAATGCGTCACTGGGAAACGCAGTCGCATAATTTCCTGCTGCGTTCCTACAGTTCTTCATAACCTCGAGGTTGAATTTTCCTCGAGGTTGTACGTCGTTCAAGGACTACACGGAAAATATAATACCTAGGATAACGAGTCTAAGATGGGTCCTTTGTGGCCACAGTGTGATCGTATTTCCTTAGTACAACGTTTAACCGCCATGGGTTCTCTTGGGTGGAATGTCGATGAAGAGGACATGGATTAAATGACGATAATTTTATTAGTTAATCTGTCCAAGAAAATATATCATGCATTAAAGGCTAAAAGCTAGTCCACTGATTAACCAAACGTAGAACAGTGTAATGAATAATGATACGTCGTAATGGTTATTTCTAGGGGGAGAGAGAGAGAGAGAGAGAAGAGAAAATTGGAAATAGAATTTTTATATGAAATCAGTCATAAAAATCTACATACAACTGCAAATTTTAAATACTTGTAAAAATACAAAAATTGTGAATATTTTATAGCTCAATACAATTTAATGCAGTTTATTATGGTTAATTTACGCTTGTTTATTGCGTTATTTATATAAAATATAAATTATTATATAATATATATTGTACAAAATTTATTATATAAAATATTGCGTTATTCAAAATATAAATAAATCATAAAAAAATTTAACGAAATCTATTATGCAATTACTAGATATGTTGAAGTTAGAAAATCTGTTTCTATAATTATTATTATTAGAATTTATTCACTTTATCATCTGTAGTATTAGATCATAACTTCGTTCCGGACGAGGATATGATTCGAAATTTAGCGAATGAAAGGAAGAGACTATTGGTTCAAAAAGTGTCGGGGAATTTAAGTAGAATGAGTCCATACGCAGTCAGACATCCGCAAGTAGAACAGATCCGTGTGTGGTCAGATATCCTTAAGTAGAATAAGTCGTACAATAGATTCGCAAATCAAATATTTCGATTATTGCAATACTATTTAGCTAGCAAAAAGTATGACAATATAAAACAATATAAAAAAAGACCTCGAAAAATATTTTAATGAGAAACCAAAGCATATTTTTGCTAAAAAGATATAATGGGAAGAGATTGTAAAGAGGACGATTGCATATTTTCTTAGGACTTACAAGTATATTTCAAATATGTATTGCGTGCAAAGCGGAACGAACTGAAATGACCTAATACATATACACAGATTTTTATACGATTTGTCTTTGGTTTATGCATATGTTCTTTTAAGCAAACATGAGAAACATTGTCAGCATTATTAATCCTTCTCAAAGTATTACTTGAAATTCATGAGATTGGTCTAGATTTCCGTGACTGACTGTAACTTTTAATCGAGTGTACTTGGACATCGTGAATGGAAAACAACTATTAATTCTGAACGTCTCGCGACAACAAGAAACGAGCGGGGAACTGCAATTTGGTTTCATTAATTTCCACTGTTCATACGGTTGGATTAAAATTGTTCCAGGGACAGCGTGTTTATATAGGTCGTATTACATCGTCAGTGGTTAAACTTAATTACGGCTAGTTTGGTATTACATCTGATAATATTGGTATATATAACGTAATGACACAGCTCCGAAATTAACTCCGAAAATTACTCACGAGAGGCCAACTAACAAGTGACACTCCCGAGGCCGATACTTCTCGGTAAGTGCTTGCCGAGTGTCGATTTATGAATCTTCCGAGCGCGCTTCGAATCCATACGAAAGACTTTAAACGAACGTTTAACTTCGAGGAATTCTACCGCGGCTTCGTGCCTAATTCCCAACGAAATCCCATTCCCGAAATACCTTTCGTTTAAACCGTTGAAACAGCTTCTTATGCAAATTAATCGGGCACCTGCCCGGGTATCATTTCGACGTCAAAGGAAAAATTAATTGGAATAACACGTCTGGCGAGAGAAACTACCGCGAAATAGTTGGAAGACGACGTTTCTCTCCCTCCCTCCCCTCCCTTCTCCACCCACCTCCCTCCCATTCCCGGGGATTTTCTTAACGGGCGAAAAAATTTCAACTAAACTCGCAGCCACACGTACAACAAGCTACGCGTTAGACGTCAAAGGGGCCGCTTGTTATCCGCCGTGAAAAAATTCTACGACTTTAATTAACGTCCCGCGAGTTTTTGTCGTCGCGGAAACAGCAGCCGTCCTCGAAACGCTGCCTGCCTGGGTCCTCTAATTTTTCGTTTTAATTCACATTTAATGGCATCTTCTCCGCGCTCTTCAATCCTCGCCGGCGCGCGGCCGGAAGAACGTGTCGTTGGCACTATTTACGCAACCAACGGGGGATCTTTCTGTTCTGTAGCCCTCACGGTGAACGTATACCTCTCTCAGCCTCGGGCTACAAAGTTCAGTACTCGAGAAACCACGTTTCGATGTCGTCCTCGAGTGCCCTTTTTTTTCTTTTCAACGGGACGAAGATGTCATTGGACGCGATCTCGGATGAATGAATGGCTATATGTTCCCTCCAGCTGCACGTTCTTTACATTCTCCTCTGCATTTATCAATTTCAATTTACAATCTCTCGCTTCGAATTTTCTGCGAACGTGTTACGCGTGTTGTGCGAAATATTTTGAAATGTGATGAACGCTATTACGATTGTATTGATCAAGTTTGAAGGAAATTTAATTATATGTGTATTATGTAGGATTTACACTGTGTACACTTTGCACAGTGTCACGATTGGCATCTTCGACACTTATGAGTTAATTTCTTATTAAATATATATATGTTTAATAAATGTATAATACATGTTTGCAGTTCCTACATATCCACTGATTTCAATTTCTGCTAATATAATTATAGTTAATAAGTATAGTTTATTATAGTTAATTATAATAAATAAGTATATTTAATATTATTATAAATAAGTATAGTTGATTATAGTTTATAAGTATAGTTAATAATATTAACTGTCTTTCGTTAATGAAATTTCAAAACATTTTGTACAATACTCTCGCTCAAAAGTTTTATTAAAATTTTATTTTTAATATTTAGTACTTACTGTAAATTAAGATTACAGATGTTTTATATTAATATATTATCTCTACTGTACAAAATACGTTTCATATTTATTGTATTTAATTATACTATATATGTTCTATTTATGTATTGTACATGCAACAATTTACATTGTACTATATATTGTATATTGTGTATATAATATGACGTGTACACTTTTCTATTGCGTAATTTATATTGCAAATATTGTATTTATTGTATATATATATAATTGATGATTTATATTTATTGTTTTACTTTTATTATACTTTTATTACAAATATAGTAATTGTCCGAAGATTTCTGAGTTGGATATTATATAAAAGTATTTTTACGATAAATGTTCTAATACTATCGTAAATTATTGTACGTCGAATGTAAAGAACTTGCAACCTAGCGAATATTTGGCGTATTTTTCTTCGTTTCTCGTGAAAAATTCTCTCGTATCGCGGATGATAATCACTATTTACTATCTCCCGTACCTGTCACTGTTCCGGCTGAATCGAATCACACGAAAAACAGTAACTCGAAAACCATTTAATAGAAAACGCTATTCCACAGGCACAATACCAGCGCCACTCTACCTTTTTTTTTTTTTTTTTTTTTCATTCGAAGCCATTCATCCAGTTTCAAAGGTTCGTCGAACGCAAGAGCGAAACATATTATATTTTCCGCTCCGGTATACACGTATGCAGCGTCTACATATCTACATACGTATCCGTATGTTACGTATGTTACGCGCTGCACGATTCCTCAAAGGTCGATGTAAACTACGATTTCATTTCGCGTCGACTGCGTTAGTGTTATTGCGTTATACATTTTCCAATAGCTTCCTGATGCCATCAACATACAAGCATGCATCAATTCGATCCGTTGGTATCGCGTCTTTTTCGTTTTTCTTCTGTTTCTTCCACTGCTCGTGGCACGGGGGGTGGAAGGCACGAATAAAGAGTCGCTATGGAATGTCTAAGTACTATCCGGGAACATTTTCCATTCGAAGCGC